AAAAAAAAAAAGGAATTAAAAAGCCTTGCTTCCAATAGCATTGTAAGGCACATTTTCGACACGTCCCAAGTCTCTCAAGTACAGGGAGGGATGCATTTTACGGGAACGAAGTCGGGAAGCGACTCGAGCGATCGACTATACAAGACCCACGCTGTTATCGAGAAAAGTAGTCGCTATGCATTAAAATGAAACAAAACAAAAAGAAAATCATTTCGCAAAAACTTTTCTTGAAAAAAAAAAAAGAAAAAAAGCGTAGAAAAGATACATACATATTTATAGTTTATATATTCGATATGAAATAAACAACGAGGCCCATGTATATCAATTTCATCTAATTCAATGCATTCGAATCCATTGGACCTGATTGCATCTAGTTAAGAAACAAACTTATCATGTCTCAATATGCTAAGAAATACCAAGAGGTATCTTTTTCAACGATCCATAGTGATTTGTTACTACTTCTTGCACAAATAGCGTACTACTCTTCTCTGGTAGCGACGGGAAACAACATTAGATATTGCAATAAATATGATATAGCAAAAGCTTGACGACGCATGCTCCGTTAGAACCTGGCTCTGATGTAAACAGCGGAGGCATCGTGTTCTCCATAACCGAGGCGTTTAGCATGTTTGTAAACTTCATTCGCTGCTGCAGCTAGTGGTAATGGCTGCTCTAATTGATCGCTCATACCTAAAGAGAGTCTTAAGTCTTTTTGCATATGTTGGAGTGGTAATTGCGTTGGAAAACCACCCTCGATAATCGCTGAAAAAATTAAAAAACACATTATAGATATCATACAACCGGATGTAAAAAGTTTAATTCTTGTACTCGATCGATGAAAAATAAAAAAAAAGACCGTAGATACCTTTTCCTTTGTCAAGAATAGCAGGGCATGCCAACGATGTTAATTCCAAAACTTCAAGAACATCCTTTTGCTGAAGACCGGCTCGATCTGCTAGAGCCATACTTTCGGCCAAACCAGCAAGAGTAACGCCTGCCATCAGTTGAAGCACGAGATTCATTTTGGAAGCATTGCCTACTTCGCCAAGGTAAAAACTGTTTTTCCCCATTGCTTCGAAGCAAGATTGGCATTCATCGAACAGGGTTCGATCGCCAGCCGCGAGAATCACTAAAGTACCCTCTTGCGCCTGTGTTTTGCTACCCTGTACTTGGGCCTCCAAATAACGGCCACCCTTTGCTGTTATTGCCTCAGCAATATCTTGTGACGTTTCCGCATCTATGCCAGTCATCTCCACGTATCCTTTCTCTGGAGATATTTCCGTAAGGACTCCACAGTTTCCAAACACCATCTAAAAGATTATTCATATCTTTTTTTATATCTATATCATAAGATATTGGAATGTTTTATGGGAAAGGAAAATCACGACTCACGTCTTTGGCAGCTTGGGGATCAGCCACGCAGGAAAATGTGATATCAGCAGCGAGCACCACGTCGGATGGCGTTAAGCCTTGCTCTGCTCCAGCTTTCACGAAATCTGCACACTAACAGAGAAAGAAAGAGATCATTAAATTTAAGCGTTCAGATTTTTAAATTTACTTTTGAAAATGTGAAAACCCAATAGGATATAAACATGTAATTTTATACATAATATTTCGCAATATAAAGAAATGAAATGATGTATTCCAATATAAAAAAAACATTGTTGCATTTGTCTCTTTTTTTTCTTTTTTATTGTTATGGCCTTTGTAAGCTCCGATTTAGCATTTTAACGACATCGCTCGGTGCGACACGGTACTACAAAAATATCTAACGACACCGACTCCGGTAGATGTCGCCACAACGAATCACTCGCCATTTGCCTCGCTATTCCGGTCACGTAGGTTGTCTGAACGGCTTCGAAGCTAAATGTTTCCAAGCTTGCTTGCCACATCAGCAAACGACGCCATTGCATCATCTAAAGATATTTCCCGCATACGGCCAAAAGGTGTATCTACATATTCATTGAGATTTAAAGGATTGTAATTGCGTTTAGTTTTGCTTATAGCCTGATACGAAGTACAGTATGTTACACAATGAATTTCTAGAAGTTTCTAAACATTCCAATATGTCGGAATGTGCCATAAATCGATAGAGACCATTAATATAATGACGTCGAGGTAAATTATGAAAAAACACATGATATCACGATATGACGATTCGATAATGACAAATTTAGTAATATTATTTTATTAAATTTAACTGAAAGCTATAAATATCATTTTTTACATGCAAAAAAATTCTCTTTTAGATTTTCTGATGTAGATGATGGCCATACTTTTTTTCCAATATGTCCTCACTGCTTTTTACACGATTCATGTACTTCAATCAAACAAATTTATATACATATATTGTTAGATCATATTACTGCAATTATTTTAATTAATTGTAATCGAAGTTATTAATATATATATATATATATAAATTCCAATAGTTAAAAGAATATTTGTGGTATTGACGATTACGTATCTCGTTGTTACGAACAGAGAGCGAGTCAACAAGTCAGTTAAGTGTTGTCACAAAGAAACAAAGAAGAGAAGGCTATGTTCTACGGTTAATAAACAATCTTTGATCTTCAGAGGTTAAGATTTGCAACGAAGATGTGCTTTCTTCTATACCGATGAAACAAATGTGAAATAAATTTGTCAGTCGGAACAACGACACAAGAGTAGCAACAACAATGTAAAACAGATATAAATAAAGATTGATCTTCGTCTTCTATTACTATTTCGTTGCACGTGCGCAAGAGTAATCGAGCAGGAAGTGTACATTGATCGTATTCTTGACCTGTATTATTTTACATGTCCGATTTATTTCGGCAAGTATATATGAATTTATTCGTATGGCGCACGATGTTACGTGAAGATGTATTATACACGATAGCAGTCGATTAAAGAATCAAATAACCAATGTATTATATTCGTAACGGAATATGTAAACTGTTCCATAAATACTGTGAACGAAAATTATTCATATATTAGAATATATTAGAATTATATATATATTAGAATTCATATATATAGAATATCGCTGCACGTTTGGTATTTCTTTCCTTTATGTTTGTGAGACATCTATTATGTGTTCCTATCCTATATCCATTATGTATTCTATATTTATTTGTGATATCTATTGTATGATTCAGTAAACCAAACATTGAATGAATGATAAATAAACAAACGAGATGTAAAACATCTATTAGTCAAGAAACCTTTACTTTTTCTTTTTCTTTTTGCAATATATGCCTCCATGTTTGTAGTTGCTTGCATTGTTGCAATATAGATTTTTCCCTTTATGTTTGTGAGACATCTATTATGTGATCCTATCCTACATTATGTATTCTATATTTATTTGATTATTATTCAGTAAACCAAACATTGAATGAATGATAAATAAACAAAAGAGATGTGAAACATCTATTAATCAAGAAACCTTTACTTTTTCTTTCTTTTTGCAATATATGCCTCCATGTTTGTAGTTGCTTGCATTGTTGCAATATAGATTTACAAAAAAAGAAAAAAAATATTGCAAAACTAGATATAGATATATAACATGAAAGATATCTAAAAATATCAATTAATTAGTTGATAATAAGCATAAGAAATAATTCCAATTTTTGATTTAAACGCAAATAATTGCTGCAGAAGGAATTATCACTCTCCACGTATTTAAACAAAAACCTAAACCTAAGAACCTAAAGGACCTAAAGTTTACGAATGCCAATGGAACAAAACAGATGGATCGCAATTTTCAAATACTCGAGTTTGAACGATAATAATCGTTCCTTTACAGCTGTATTAACTTAAATAATGTTCATATTACGAATACATATGGTCATGTGTTGCAGGTAATAACGATGCGCGATAATCATACATATGCAGGAAAACATTCTCTATTCTCTGTTTGCATCATGCATTTTCAAATTCATAATAACAAATAAATTATCGAATTGTTGCCATTTTAAACGATAATACGGCTGGTATTCTACTAAAATATAACTTTTCGAATTAGCGTAACCTATTATTTCCGGTTTGTACGCATGTTGCTCAGGTGTGTAGACACCCGGTTTCTTTCTTTTTTTTTTTTAATAAATCGACTGGTTCATTTTTTCGAAGAAATAAATTAGGGCAAGTAATAACAGCGTCGACTATGCGTATACTATACACGTGTGTGTTGATCGACAAAAAGAGTCGGATGAATAGACCAGCGTGCTAAAATGCAAGTGGCAGAGGCGGCGGATGTAGAATCGTATAAGCAAAGATAGAGAGGGATCGAGTATGACGGCCTTTGTGGCTTATAGTGAACGTGCGGAAATCGTTTGTATAAAATTTCGTTCTTGGTTCATCTGGACGCGATGCACGATCAGGAAATGAAATGAGGATGAACGATTTGTTGGGAGCTGGATAGCACTCTTCTAATTAATCATCTTAGATGAATTATTTGAAATAAATTGCATAGAATCGCATATTGCTCGATAACAGAGAACGAATGAGCGTTTTATTAATCGTCATTATTTAGCCGTACATTCATTCATTTACTTATTTCGTGTTTTAAGCAAATTACTTTGAAATTATTTCTAAAATTTCAGACATTTCACATCGATTGCTATTATCAGTACATTGAAGTGAACAGCTCAATTGGCAATTAATTTAAGTGTCGATGCGACGCTAGAAAGAACGAGTTACGTAAGAGAAAAGCCGAGACCAGAAAAGTGATGTGAATGAAGAGTAGTAATTATAAACTATAGCAGAGGAGTAATTATAAAACTATAGAAATTCTACCAGATACATTTGTGAGAACAAAAATGGCTTGTGTAAATGATACAGCAAACAAGATTCAACATATTCTTTTGAATGTTTTAAGCATGACAGAAATTTCCAAGGCTCACAGAAGTCTGGTATTTATTGACTCGACGTCTTTTTATTTTTTTTTTAATCTTTTTTTGCCTCGCGTTCAAGGTTTTCTTTCTGCTAGATTAATTTGAAATAAATGGAAAGGTAATCAAACTTTTACAAGACGAATTTCTCGTTATCAAGATGTTCTGAAGATAAGATATAAACGATTCGAAATTCTGCGAACGCGTTGCAAACAATAGTATCTTTACAGATGGAGTCTCGACATACAGCCTGATATTTCGTAGTGGGAAATGTGGAGAAAGGTTGAACGACACGGTCGTTCATTCAGGTTATATATCTTTGGACACGTACACAAGTACTTGATATTCGTACATCCCTGATCGTTCCGATCTATATCTATATCCACTCGGGGTTTCTAAAATTATTTAGCAAAATGTAATGCCAATCCTAACAACAAATTGAATGCCCAACGAAAGCTACGCTCGTCTATCTTTCCGATTTCGCTTATATATTCGGCAGCCAGGCAAATACGTAATTAATCTCTCAAAAATACGAAAATCGTGGTAAAGGCCAAGGGGACGAAAGCGACGAAGGACAAAAGCGCGAGCAAAGGAAGGTTCAGAGCGTTCAGAGAGCGAGCCTGCGCCGTCTAACCGACACGTATAAATAAAGAGTTGGATAGCTGCGAGGTTGCCAGATCTCGGTAATATTGATCCACGAAGCCGACACGGTCGTCAGCCGAGGGTCATGCAGAGAAACGTGGCAACAACGGCTTGTTCCCAGCTGATCGAGCTCTACTCACGTCTGCTCGACGGTCGACCGTGTCTCTCCGTTTCTTCGAGTTCTCTCTCTCTCTCTCTCTCTCTCTCTCTCTCTCTCTTGCTTTCGCTCAAGCTCTCCCCTCTTTCTCTCGTAACTAGCAACCAGTACTTATCGCTTGCCTGCCTGCCTGCCTGCCTGCCTTGCCTCGGCTCGCAAGCCTTTCCTTTCTTACATCGCCGCGTTCAACCATTCCGCTTTAACTTCAACATGCGAAGCCAAATGCTTCCTTCCACTCGTTAACTGTACACACAGTTGCAAACGACATTATGCAATAAAGAAAAGTCTTACATGCCAAATCGACAGATATGTCGCAATATGTGGAGAGAAAAGCTCGCGCCGTATCTTTGATCTCTTGTCTCTGATTTATTTCTGTATCACTGGCGAACGATTTTATGCCAAACTTTTACTCGAATCGCCGACACAGAAAACGGAAGAATTACCTTTTAAAATAGCTACGCCTCTTTCCTTTTTATCGTTGTACTAACCGTCTGGCACTTTTCGGCTCTTCTGAAAACCGTGTGCCAATAACGTTACGCAACGACCGACTGCTGCACTCATTTTGATACCGAGTGCGCCTTTAAAACTTACTTAAATATTTTGGAATCAGAGAGAAAGAGAGAGAGCAAACGTTTGCGCGTGCAAAATAATATTTTTCCTGATACGAAGCAATTTTGTTTATTCCGCTTTGTCTCGCTCCGCGATAAACACGATTTATAAAGCTCTGCAAATGCTACAAATCTCTTTACGGCATTTCCTTTCGAAGGATTCCTTCGTCTATGCCGTTGATCGTGCTATTACGCTATTACGCAACACATTCCTAGTTGATAATTCCGTATTTATTTTCCAATGCATATTCTTTCCCATTCGAAAAATCACTAATGTCGCGCGACACAACGTTATAAGTATCGAGTAAGTTTGTTATATGTTTCATAACTGATTTGTTATTTCAATCCTGCACGAAGAAGAATCCTCGTCTTTCATAATGCTCTCGAGGCTATTGAGAAAATTCTACGTTTCATTCGGATAAAAAAATGATACAAAACAGGAAAGACTAAAATAAGAAACTATCAAGATTCTATTTTATCCTTTAAAGTTGACCCTCTCAGCAACAAGAGAGAGAGAGAGAGAGAGAATCTTCGCGCAAGCTACAGCAATCAAGGTCAAATTCGATCTTGCAGTTACGACTATGCGCGCAAATCAAGTTTCGAAACAAATTACGAAAAACGATCTACTAAGACTTAAATTGCACAATTCCCCATTAATTCTGACTTAAGCTTTGGGACATAATTCAATCAGCTGTTTGCCAAACTCGCTCGTTTCACTTCGTTCCATCGTGATAAAGCATTGTAAAAGAGCCGCGTTGTTCCGCGACCTTAAACCGCGTTGTTTGCCGAACGCAGCAAAGCAACGAAGTAAAATTTGAA